ATGTCATTGAAGATCCGGGTTATAATTGATCTTCAGCAACCCATGCTTGTAAGAGACGACTAACAGGATCGGGTGGTCCGGCTTAGCTGACTTGGTTGACACGTGTCATCGTATCCCAGTTACGTTGATCGATGTTCATGCTGTTGATCATTAGATTGTCTGGTCCAGACTTGATTATTTACAGACCGACTCGGCGTTAAACAACCATCCACAAACCAACTACTTATGATTGAACCATTGGTCCGTCCAACCCACACACACGTACGGCAGAAAGGTGCCAAATATCTCCTCAATTGCACTTTTGGTTTTCTTAGGAGTCAGAAGGAGTCTGCAGTGCAAGTCTGTGTCCCACCAGGCAGAGAGGGTGGGGGGGGCTGTGCTATCGCTTCATCTGTGGGATGACTCGGTTCCTCCTTCACTCTCACTGGAGCCACTTCATCCTGAAAGAAGAATTATTACAGTTTAACCGACAGCTAAAATGTCTAAAGTGATATTTGAAATGTAGCATGATTAATTGATCATGATACACTGTTGAAACGTTTTTACCATTTTGAATTTCAATCATTTTATGTAATAATATAATATTCAGAAACAAATTAAGATGAAGATTTGTTGTTTGAAACACCTTTTTCTGTGGAATTTTTGTTTTTAATTTTTAAAGCATTAATTAATTAATTACATTGAACAGTATTTTAATTATTCAATTGTTGAACTGTTTATTTGCCTTGTTTGCTTCTGCCATCTTGATCGCATTCATGGTCAGGGCACTGAATACAAGAAGACGGTTGGCTTCATTGTGGTAGGGTAGTGATCGAAACCTGGGGTCAAGGGCAGTTGCTTCCTGTTGATGTCAGGCTCAGTATATCTGGTCTTCAGATCTTTGACAATTGCCGACTTCACAGACTTGACAAGGCCAGAATCACTTTCAGTGACAGCCATGATTTCAGAATAAGCTCCTTTAATGGTAGCATCAAGGAAACTGTGGTCACTTTCTCTGAACAGAGGATTGTTGTTATTGTCTTCAATGGTCGAAGAACATTTACCGCATCTTCTACTGCGCTGACATCTTCCTCTGACAGAGTAACAAGGGTGTCTGCATTTTTCCTGATATCCTTCACTGTGAGAGTGGCAAAGATTGCAGCTTGCTGCTCGAGATATCGCTGAAGCATGTCGTAGCTAGAATTCCATCTCGTAGACCATGGCTCCTAGTATGGTGATCTACCTTCAGTTGGTGGCGATCTATAGCCCATTTTTATATTGTGTTGTCCCCTATAGTTAAAATGTTTTAGATTCAATTACTAGTTTTACATACATATCTGTGATATTCTAGTTGCTTTACTGTCCTTTGTCGGCAGGTTTTATAATCTCTCTATATATTCTATTTCAATGTCAAGTGTTCTCGTCACGATATGGCTGAAATATTGCCGATGTGACGTTAAATAATAACTCACTCACTCACTCACTCACTCACATCTCGTGGAAACATCTTGGATCAGTTTGTGATCGGGCAATTCAAAAAGTAACTGTTTTGACCTGAGAACAGATGCAGCATATGAGCTTCTGTGAAAGAATGAAACTATTCTTCTCACTCTCCCCAAAATTCTGGACATCTGCGGCACCTGCATGGCTTTTTGGCTTGCTATGTTAATTGTGTGCGCAAAGCACCTTGAGGTGCAAATCTCGACTGCTTTACAGCACTAACAATATTGCTAGCATTGTCTGTGCTAATGGCAATCTGAGAAAATTTGCCTAAGTTCCATTCGTCAACAGCTGATTCCAGTATATTAGCCAGGTTTGCCCCAGTGTGGCTCTCTTGTAATGTTCGTGTTTGAAGTACCGGGTTTTCAAGTTGCCAGTCTTCGTTAACATAGTGAGCCGTGATGGTAATATAACTCTCGGTGGAACGTGAGGTCCAACCATCAGTGGTGACAGCCATTGATGATGCACGAGCAATACTTCCCATCACACTTGATTTTACTGTCTTGTACATTTCAGGTATCACATAATTCGTGAAGTGGGTTCTCGATGGGATTTCATATCTCGGTTCAAGTGTGTGGATGAGGTACTTGAAACCGATGTTCTCTACAACTGAATAAGGTCCATCGCAATAAATGTACCAATTCCATTTGTTATTGCTTGCGCCCGTGTCGAACGAGACGACAGTTTGGTCTTGAAAGCCTCACTAAGTCTAAGTTGACCTGCTAACGATGTGCGTTTCTAATCGTCAGAAATGTTTAAAGGTTTTGAACATTTTGATTGTCCATAATCATTGCAATCAATATCGGGGTGATGTCGCCGAAGACGTGTGGATATGTTAGTTGTGCTCCCCATGTACCTGATTCGCAGGTAACACAGACGACAGACGGTCTCGTCTTTTTAAACAAGTTTCTTACCGTCAATGTATTCAATTGGAAAACCAAATGCTTGCCAAACAGAAGATTTGAATGAAGCCGGGGTTTTTCGACTTCACATTTGATTTCGCTGCTTACCAGTCCGTCTTCAGTCATTGTTTTGACAGCTCAAAAAGCACATGGCATCTGACAGTGAACTTGAGCTTGACATTCGCAGTTATGCGATCTGATTGGTCATTCATTTTAACAGCCACCAATGAGCAAACAGCATGGCTGTGTACTTTCGTTTTCCTGGAAAGGCGTGTTTGTGTGAAGTATTTCGAGTCATGGTTTCATGCAGAACATTTTATCATTAACAATTTTTGTCAAATTATTAATAACACAAGCTTTATTGATTGCTATGAAAAGTAGTATATTCAGATGATAGGTATGCTTTATCGTTTGATGGAAAATATTTATGATCATAAACGTTTTGTCACTGAAAACAAGGCTGAATATTTTCGGAACGTATAGTAAAAACATTTGAGCGATTACAGCAGTTTTGTGCCAAACGTCGATCTAATTTGCACACCAGAGACAGATATAGACACTCTCAGGTAAGATGCGTTTATTCAATTCAATCTTAACAACACGGACGCTATATTATGTGAACAAGATCATTTACTGTAATTGACAGCACACAAAACACTGTTTACAGTTTTGTATCGTAGCGTATCGATTCACGGGCAAAAATGTATCGCGTATCGTATCGTATGCCATAGATCGCGATGCACCGCTGTACCGATGTATCGTTGCACCTCTGCATTATAGTTCTCCTCCGGTAAAGGAGCGTGGGGTCAGACAAACGGACATGCTGATGGTTGTATCGGCCAGACATTTATGTAGATAATTGTGTACAGGATATAAAAGAATGTGGCATGTGCTTGCTGCGCACGAATGCAACTACCTAACGATTTGGAACTAAAGCGACCTCTTATTATTTCTTCCAGTTGATCTATCACTAAAGCAGATGATTGCATGAACTTATTCACCCCTAATTTGTATAACTGAGTAATAGATACATCATGCTATTTATTCACCTACGATTAAACATTTGACTGTAAATACAGCACGCCATTGTGTTGTTTGTTTGTTGTTCATTAATATCACAAACCTGACCGACCAAACGTGAATCAAATCTTTGTTGTGGTTGTTTTGTTCTGAATAGCAACGATTTGAGCAAATTTACAGCTAAGGCAGGGCCCCGAATAGTCTTTAGTACGAACCAAACGATGTGTGGATGTGTCTGATGAAACAACATTATCAGTGTACAAACATCAAGTCAAAACCACCAGATGCATTTCTAACCCAGAGCCCACGAGGTTGTATAGATGTGAGGATCCTTACATATGGAACACAACCAGGAATGTTTCGTTTGACAGACAATAAGATTATACGTGTCAAAATAAACCAGGCTGTGGGACAGAGCATGGTGTAGATGTCCCTCGTGACCCATGACAGGTATATAAGCCAATATAGTCTTGGTGCAGGTGTATCAAACGTTTAAGTTGGAACCGAGCCGTTGTTCAGCCACACACACCTGGTGAAGTTGCTGGCTTAAGAAGACAGGTTAATTTCCTTGCTTTCCAAGATCAGACAATGACAACTGATGCACATTATGATTGTGTCCTGGAGTGCTGATTACCGATCGACTCACACGCAATGAGTAACTATAAGAGATTATATTAATGAAAGTTAAGGACATCCATAATATATCCATGTCCAGATGAAGTCGTATAAATGTTCTGAGAACTCATGGCAAGAGAATTAACAAAAACACAGACAAATAGTGCCAATCACCTTGTGTTCTGTACGAGGCAAACTATGGTTCGCCAGCGAAAAGACTTGCTACCCTTTAAACACAGAGGTGTTCAGCAGAGACAAGTTAGACATTAAATATCACGAGAAGTAACAGTGAAACTGTTCCAAGAGATGAACCAGAGCCACTCTGAAAATGAAAACTGTTAAAAGGATTTTTAAACAGGATTAACATTTTGAATTTTTATTACATAATGCCATTCAAACATGAATATATACCACATCTGCACCATCACTTCTAAATATGCACCAACACCAAAACCACTTTAGACCCGCCCACTCGTATGCATATATTTATTTTCAGCGGTGACGTCATACCAGAGCGTCCGCTTCGTATGTTGACCTTTCTATGGTGTGTACGCCATCGACTTCCAAATGACACGAAGCTCAATATTTTGAAAGAAGCTTTTGTTATCATGATTACGTAATCTGTTGGAAACTGACACCTGCACTTTGAGTTTTGATGATTATCCAGCCCCATTGTGTGGCATATGACTGTACATCCAATTCCGTAAACATCACCGGATGTACAGCTTGTTCAGCTTGACCTGATCAAGTGAATACTAATGCATTACGTGACCGTGTCACAACTGGTTGGGTCTACTTTTGTTAAGGGGTGCACCATTGTCATGATTGTCAACATGTCCGACCAGCCGAGACAAGGTCGCCGTTTAACATTCTCTGCTCCCCTATTTAATGAAGTTAACTCAACCTGCAGTTTGTGCCCTTTGACCTCCCGGGTCATGCATATGTAGAGTAGCTCAGGTCACGCTGAACAAGCTGTACATTTTCATCTTTTTTCCTAAGAAATTCTATTTGACAAGAAGAAAGGCATGGATTGTTTACTGTCGTACTGCGGGCTTTGTAAACCCTCCGCGTACGGTCATTTGTGTATATATCGGGCATTCCTCTCGACCCGGCAAACAAACACAACAGACCGTACAGGCAAATTTCGACTGAGACAAAGAGTTTCATCCCGGACGCGACAGTGCTTGCGGGTGAGTTTTAAGGGTGAGTGAGTGAGTGAGTTTAGTTTTACGCCGCTTTTAGCAATATTTCAGCAACATAACAGCGGGGAACACAAGACATGAGCTTCTCACACAATGGACCCATGTGGGGAATCGAACCAAGGTCTTCGGCGTGACGAGCGAACGCTTTGACCACTAGGCTACCCCACCGCCCGAGTTTTAAGATGTTGTGTCTGTTTTGGAGCAATATATACAATCCAGCAGCTGGCTACCAAAACAATTTTCCAGTGCTGATGTAATAAATCTCATATGTTCACTCATGTCCCATTTACGATCACAGAGACATGGTGAGCAAATAACAAATAATCAAATAATAAGTCATAACAGATAAATATCCATGGAGTGGTCAATTTGCATGTTAAAGTGGTTTGTGAATTGTTGGGTGGGATGGGTTAGGTTAGGGCAAAGACTAATTTATGGTATTCTCTCTCTGTCTCTTTCTCTCTTGAAAGCAAGGTGTAATACGTAAAAATGAAACATTACTGAATATGTTCAACATTGGCATGAACTGAGTTATTTATGAACCCCTTGTGTAAACATCATGGCAGCCAAAGATATTTGAAGGTAAATCTTTTAACCCACTTTCAAAAATGGGAAATCAGGAAAATATGTTCATTCAGATAATGTATTTATTGTTTGTAAGTGATAAAATGCTAAAATGTTTGCATGAAATGCCACTTTAATACTATTTTAGGATGTACATGGCAGCATTTCACGTCAATGAAAACGGCCAGAATACCCAAGCAGTGACCAAGACTCGAGAACCCAAATCGGCCATCAGCTACCCCCAAACCATAACGGGGTCACGCCAGTGAACGAGGGACCAACACATGGTATTTAATACAGACAATCTATATTTTTTGCCTGTTTGCTCCCTTTTGTTGAACTGATGCACTCCAATCCACCTTGCTACATGTACTGCATGTTTTTCTCTACCTAAAGGACCGCCTCCGTGGTGTAGTGGTTAGAGAGTCCGCCTGAAGAGCGGAAGGTCGCGGGTTCGATCCCCGGTCGCGTCAATCCAAAAGACGTTAAAACATGGTTCTTGTTGGTCCCTGCCTGGCGCTCGGCATTAATGGGTACAACAAGGACTGGTCGGCTCGTAGTCAATATAATGTGTCTGTGTGGGGTGTTCATGCTTAACTGCGGCATGGTATCACAATGATCTTGTACTATAAAACCAGCTTCAGTCTGGGCTAGTACAAGCAGCCGCACATACACATGCATGCACGTCGTCATATGAGCGAAATAATCTTAAGTACGGCGTTAAACCCCATATCACCTCACCTCACTACCTAATGAGTTGTCAAGAGTTGTTTACAAGGACACTTGCTTTTCATCCTCAAATATTATTTCCCTCTCAGCATTTGTTAAGACAAAAGTATTTACGTTATTAGAGCAGATTTACTACTATTGTTATGGTATACTGGAAGCGTGTTACAACAATTCTCTGATTCAATGTAAACTTTATTCACAGAGTATATGGAATTCTCAGGGCTACTGCTTGAGAGAAGAAACAGCTCTCCTTCCTACAGACTTGCAGGACATGACTATGAGGCCTGCAAATAAATTATTTCTCCCTTTTACTTTGTGCTGTTTATTTCTTGATTTGACCGCTTGTCTTTGGGTGGGACTGATCACACTTCACAGGTTATTACTACAAAATAACACAATGAAGACTGTCTTTTCACTGGCTGACAGTTACGGAGAATGATAAGGATATGTCAGTTTTATTTTCTGCAGCTATATTTCTTTATTATATCTATTATCAGCTGTTAAGGAGGTTACAGCAAATTTTCTTTATCATTCTACATTTTATGTAGACGTATACACCTGAAGAGAGGCTCAACACATAGATCGAACATTGGCGTTATCATGACTGCAAATTTTACGATGAACGCTGAAGAATTAATTGGTTTCCATGAACATATGATAGGCAGGTGTCTTGTGTACCAGTCTGCAGTAGGCCTATTCAAAACATAGTTGGCTTATATCTTGTGAACTGGTGGAATCGCCGTCAATATTCCTGTCGGTCTTGCCGCTAGAAATACTTTCAAGTTGAAACATTTGTACGTATGTGATAATATCGGTATCTAGTATGTCATCCAAATCCAGGTTGGAATTCATTGGTTGACTTATATAGAAGCAGATCTCAGTAAGCAAACAGGCTCGGTACCACTGCATTTTCATGTTTTGATGTTGCGACTGACCGGTATGACGTCACACGACCACGTGACCATCTGCCTCATTATCTTGCGTAATCGCCAAATAGGCGCGTTTTAGGTTCCTAATACATGCTATATAATGAAATATTGCTGTTTCTAGTGTATTTTGTGAATATTATGCCAAAACCATTGTCTTTAAATCCAACACAAGAAAATGGACCGTCATTCGGCTTGCTCCTTTATAAGACATACGTGACACAGTCCCTTGACCAAGAGATATACACAGGCCTTTGCATATTTACAAGTGGAGACCAAAACCCTGGTGTTTCATTCCAACACAAGAACATGGGCCGTCATTCTGCTTGCATATACCTAGGGGTTTATTAATAGCGAATATAAACCATGTGAAGAAAAATTCTTTAACCATTTGTTATGCAAGTAGAAAATTTGCAAGAGTCTACTAAGGCCGGTTTGGGATCACCGGAAGAAACACAAATAGATCATCTATCTCAGGCGATTCCATTTGAAGGTGACCAGTTTAAGGATTGGATAACATATGTTTGTTTTGCGGATAATCCTGAGGGGAATATCGGAATAGTTGCTGTTCAAATAGTCCTCTTACTCGCCTAATATAATACACTAAAAATAACATACTGGCGTACAAACTAAGATATAACAGGAGGATATATATGCCATGTATATATAATAGGAGGATATATATGCCACCCAAATGCCCCTCTCGGTAGTCCAGGTGTTTTTCCCACAGCCATTGGATAACAAACCAGGACTGGTCATGATCAAATTTCAAGCAAGGCTTCACACTGCGCGCACATTGGCGTTTACTGATGCGGGCTAATTATAAATACAACTTAATCCCTTAAGTCTCAATAGCTGCCAACTGGTTCCAACAGCGGCAGGTAGGTGGCTATGATTATCTTCAACTTCAACTTTTGTATTCTCTTAAAACCACCATCGGTGGTACAATAGCAAAGAATATACAATATTTACAAATGTACATAAAACACAATCATGCGTCATGATGATGAGTTATTTACGTAACAATTTATACAAGTGAGAGATAAAAAGTGATAAACATTTGCTAAGTTTAAAATTGGCAGGCGACATGACTTTGTTAAGAGTCGATAAACTGGCCCAGTTGTGATATTTTGGGGGGATGAATGATTTCCTGAAGGAATTAAGTGATGTACATTTAAAAAGATAATGGAATTCGTCACCAACTAAATTACAGTTACATAGTTTACATAATCTTTCTTCTCTCGGTATGTTCTGCCATCTGCCGGTTTCGATCGGAAGGTTTAGATTTGAGGTTCTAAATTTCAAAATTGGGATATATATAGATTTTGGAAATAAAAATATTTTTCAAAAGCCAGTGTTTTTTTAAAATGTTGATAAAGTCCCTTAGAACTGGAACGTTTATCTTCTTAACATTTTTGAAAAACTGATCTGTTAGAATTTGCTTTGCTTTTGAAACTAGAGGCGTTGTAGAATATGCCGAGGGATGTACATATATTTCAGATAAACCGATTCTGTCTAATAATTGTTTAATGGAATGTAACCAAGGGTATGCCGTAGGGTGTTGTTCATAATCATGACTAATATATTGGTATAAAACATGAGATAGTTTGGTCGTCTCATTAGATGCGAGATTTTGCCAAAAGACAACATACGAGCATAGATTCTGATATTTAATGGGCCTCTACCAAATTCTCCATAAACCATAAAGTTTGGGGCGGATTTTCTGAAACCGGAGGCCATTTACAGAAACTTTAAATGAACACTTTCAATAATTTCTAATTTCTCATACCCCCATTTTTCGGACCCGTGTGTAAGAATTGGTGATATCATTTTTCGGATCCGTATGTAAGGAATTGGTGATATCATAACATCAACAGCTGACATGAGACAATCAAGTGGTAGATTTACATTTCGTGCTTTCTTCAATAGACAGTACATCGCTTTTGTGGCATTCCTACTACTCCTTTAATACTGGTAACCATTCTTTTATTTCTGTGAAATTGTATTCCTAAATAAACAAAGCTATCAACGATATCTAATTTTCAGTTTCCATATTTCTAGGGTGATATCTTTATTAAATATGCTACAATCAAGATCAAAATCTGCTTTACCTGTGTGAATTTATTTCTGTCGTCGTCATCACTGGATAAGAAACAGGAGGTGGAAGAGAGTGAGATGTACAGATAATGGGTATGTTTACACAAGGGGAGAGTTTATACAAGTGATTAGCAGATGTAGATAGAAACCAGTAATGAACTAATTGACTTTCTGTTTTCACTTCTCTCTTCGCGGTTTTACAGATAATCGTTTACGAATACCTTGATACTGTCAACGGGGCGGTGGGGTGGCCCAGTGGTTAAAGCGTTCGCTCGTCACGCCGAAGATCCGGGTTCGATTCCCCACATGGGTACAATGTGTGAAGACAATTTTTGGTGTCCCCCGCCGTGATATTGCTGGAATATTGCTAAAAGCGGCGTAAAATCATACCCACTTACTAACTGACACTGTCATTAAAGGAGCACATAGTAGTAGTCTTGAACAAAAGGCGAGGCAATATGATGTGATAATAATGACCAAATCGGACCGGCACTTACTCAGTTGAAAAACTAAAATTCAACACAATAAACGTCACAACGTTAATAACACATGGTAATATTAGAGCCTCTAACTCTATCTTTCTTCGAAAGCGAAGTTGAATTGGATTGAATTGAGTCTGGCTTTACGTCACATCGGCACTTTTCCAGCCGTAGAGTGACGAGAACAAGTCTGCAGCAATAACCATTTCAAGTACAAAGTCCAAATGAGTTTTATTTCAAAAACATATATATTCTTTACATTGTCATTTGAAAACAGAAAATGTCATAGCACCAAATTCAAAAGCACGCAGTTTGTTATTCGCATTACACAGTTACAATTTATGACACAGATCACCTTCCCTCAGGTAGTTCACAATCAGATGCCCGCTCACGCCGGAGAAAAGATCTTTCAGATTTGTCGCATCATAATGTGAATCCCTTGCAGTCGAAAAGCCCACACAGTCAAGCAGAATATGCTGGTGTCATATAAGTCATATGACACACATGCTGAAGTGTAAAAATGTCATTGTTATCCATTTTATTAATATACATTTGTGCAGTAAAACACGGAAAGCAAGTGTAACGGCACATATGATATATATGACACCGGTTATGTTTCACCATATGGATAATACAAACGTATATACACTTACTGAAAACCCTTAATTGTTCCTATAACTACAGCCATTACAACTTGAAGCTGCCGAGGTCTGTAACGATGTCATCGCTCATTCCATGTCGTGAGACCAACACCTGTATAAGATCCGTGCCTTCTTGAGCCAAGAGTGACAAAAATTTATGAAGCGTGAATTGACAGAGGCACATGCATGTTGCATTTTAGGTCATGTTGTTGTTTTCCAAAGTCGGGTTGGCTGGTTCATGCAAAGTTCAAATCTCCAAATTCGCATAAAGAATTCTCCTACTCTCAAAAATCTCGAAAAGGTTTCACATTGGCAGTAGATGCTAGTGACATTAGGGCCAAAGCTGTCTTTTGCAAGCAAATGCATCAGACTTTGACCATTCTGTCTGGGATTATTCACGAAACTCTACAAACATTGAAACATGATACAGTGTTAGTTCTGCAACAATTTGAGATGTAGGTGGGTGTCCATCTTTGTCTTTTATTCAAGTGTGCACTGATCATATTCCATTAACTTTAGCGTCCGATGGGCTGTAACGTGTTTGCAGGAGTTTGACCTTTGACGCCAAGCAAATGATCTACAAGACTGTAGTTTGTTGTTTAATGCCGCATTCAGCAATATTGAGGCTGCATTAGCATGGTGAACAGATCACGTGTAAACCAGAATCATACCATTGTTGATGAACACGGGGATTGCATCAGCCAGATCACTGAGCCTCACCTTCTGTAAGTCCCTCGAGATATGAAGCAACCCCATGCATGGGTACAATGTGTGGAACCCATTTCTGCGGTGTCCCCTAAGTCATGTGCTGGAATATTGCTATAAACGATGTAACCCTTCATTCACTACTACTCACTGGTTTTGACAACACGCAGTGGGAATGAAGACCTACCGGAAGGTCACAGGTTGTTGCAATTAGGGGTCCGTAACTGACCCTAGCGTGCAGTAGAGGCCTACGAAGGCAGTAAGATGTTGGAAGGGGAATGGTGATCTGGAAAAATACTCTCTCTTAAACTGTTATTCCCCTCTTCCCCCCAACAAAAAACCCCCAAAACAAACAACAAAAACAAAACACCCCACCATCCCAGCAAAACAAAAGTCCAACAAAAGCAAAAAAA